CTGGTGATACGTGAGCTGATTTAACCTCATTGCAGATGCACTTCAGTGCATTTAGATTTGCATAGGAGAAGATTAGAATAATGTAAAAAATAATAACTACAAAAATTCTATTTCGGGTGTGTCCTTCCCAGCCAAGCCTGGTGCCAAAGCCCTTATTTAAGATGAAAGGACCTTAAATAAACTTTAAGGTAGGGAAGGATGCTGTTTATCATCTCTCCACAACACTGATGACTCCTTAAATTCTGCGGTACGGCTCTTATTTTCTAAGTCAAGTCAAGTAATTAACGTCATCTATCATGGCTTGTGCTTCTGCTGACGGGGCGAGTAAGCGTTTCCATTATAATGCAATCGCTCTGCACGTTTACTGCACACTCCCTTCCTTTAGTGGTTCAAATCGCCCATACAACCAGAGCAGCAGGAAATGAATAACAAATGCACAGCACACCATGAAATTATCTGAATTAGTCAAAAATAAAGCCTTACGAAAAAAAAAGACATTTGCCCTAATCTTTCAGTCTTAGGAGACATGAATAATCATATGCAGCTAGCAAACAGTAGCTGTCATGTTTAAAAATTCTAAAATTACTCACTCCTCTCCCCTAAAGATGTCCTTCAGACATCAAAAGCCGGTGCTTCAGTATTTCAAACACGAGACCCCCCCCCCCTCCCCCCCACGCCTTCCAATCCCCTCCACCCACGTCTTGCCGTGGATAAGCCAGCACCTGCTTTTCCAAACACCTCCCCTGGTACCTTCTCCCGCACTACTGGGAATATCACATGTCACTATCCACCCCCCCCTCCACGATTACTGCCGTGTGTGATCTGGAAGCTGTTCCACGTATCCACACTCTTCCTGCCACATCATGTAAGTGGCGTCGTAGACGGTGTCATTTCACATGACAACAGAGTCACGCGGATAATTCACAATGATGCCAATTTTCACTCCTTGCGAGCGGTTCAGCTAAACTGTGACAAAGCGATTGTAATTTACAATACTTTTCCTCTGAAACATAATAGCTCATTACGATGGAAGCATGCATATTTATTTGAGATTTAAATACAGATACAAATCTGTGACAAAACTCTCCCAGTCAATCTATGATGCATCAAAAACCAACCAAAGGGACCAAGTTTGCTAACATTTAACTGGGAACAAAGAAACATCTTCCATTTGCATTTTAAATTAATCAACTCTTTTCAAAAATGCTGCAATAAATTAGCTATCCAGCTGCATATTTACAAATGTACTCAAAACATTTTGAGAAGTAAGAAAACGTATCTCACGGGAAAAGTCATTTTGCATTGCAAAAATGTTAGAGAGTGGGGTATTACTGCACTTTGCAGTTATTTTGAGAGTGACCTCTACACAATGTTAAATAACACTCGAGACGACACGTACACACTTTTTATTTTTAAATCAATTAACTAAAGTACTTCACTTTAACACAAACTGCAGGTCTCCCAGATATAATAAAGAAATAAAGATTTAAAACCAGTTAATGAACCTCATCCTCCATCTCAGTTTTGTTTGGTCATCAAGCCAAAACAAGTAAAATGAAATATAATACATCAAAGGATGCAAAATGTAAATTATAAAGCGAGATGAAGAAAAATAAGACACACATTTCTATAAAACCACAAACAAAGGCTTCAGGGAGAGTCCAGATAAATATTTTATTTGTATAAATGCTTTAACTTGTCTATTGGTAATCTGATCTGTATGTATCTCATTCCAGAATACCCAAGTACCCAAGGCATAAGCACTCAATAAAAATGTTTTAGAATATTCCTTACATACAGAAAACATAATATACAATTACACATCACTGTAAGCCATAATGTAAGTCCTATGTACCATTTTCACCTGTCGTTATTTTAATAGATGTGTTTGTAGTTTGTGACTATCATGTACCAATTCCAAAATGTGGCATCCAAATACAAATAATTTCACCAAGAATAAAACTTACAGATGGAATAACGTTTTGCGGGTCATGTTTTCTTGGAGAAACCTTCACGCGTAAAATTCATGGGGTGACATTCAAATGAGTACCACACTGGAAAGACCAGTCTGCTTGTTTTCACAATTTTAAGAGCATATTAAATATAATGACTGAACTCGCTTTATGACTAAGACTGTGGTTAAACTGCTTAAAGGATGTCACGTTACTGTCGAACGGCAGGCTTTGATCATGACAGTCACATACGTTGCAACAAGTGCAGCAATAAATGCGAGCTTCAGAAAATCTTAACTGTGCATCTACTTTGAATTTGAATTCCTTTAACAAATGAACAGCATGCACTCTATTCCAAGACAGGAAAACAGACAATATTGCCATATATAATTTTCAATTTACTCAATACATATACATGAATCACTCTCACATAACATTTTGCAAACTATTATTCTCAGAAAATTTAATTTACTGATCAATTCATTCTGGCAGCAATAGATGACATCTGAAATATGCGCGTCTGTTTCAGGAGGTTTTAGAGAAACACAAACAGTAAAGAAAGAGGTCTGGCAATGACAATTACTATGTATTATTTTGGTTAAGCTAATATTTCAGGATTAAACGATTTCAGGCCAAGACCAACAAAGCACAGCGGAGAGACGTGGTTAAAATGCATATTATGACGGATTGTGTTTTTTTAACAAAACCGACGGCGCTGATCTTAGGGGCCTCGAGTGGCTTGCAGCAGCGTTTGAGGCTACGCCTTCCATGAGACGATGGCGGCTGCCTGCTAAAGGCCACACGGGGCAGAACAATAAATCATTTCTCGGCACAAAAATTCAACAATATACAACAGACTCTGAAAATGCCCTGCTATAACAGAACATATAAAATCGCCAAAAATCACCGAAACGATTTAAACATAATGTTCCTACTGAGGCAGACGCCCTATCAAAGGTTAGTGAAAAGTTGTGAAAGTAATTGTTCTACTAAATAAAATATTACCTTATGTAAAGATTAAGGTTAGGGAATTTTAACATTTGAAACTTTTTAATCCCTAAAGAGCTAATTCTGTAGATGCTCACATTCCCATCTGGAAACTAAACGTTTTGTATCCTGGTTTTGGATAAAAGGGTGATGGTTCATTCCTTCTAGCCAAGTGAGGACCACAGACCATTCTGTGTCAGCCCGTGTTTTTTTTTTTTTTATTATTATTGAAGGTTCTGGGGCTCAGGTGGAGACTCGGGGCCTCTCTCACTCCGAGGTGGTGGGGCGGCCAAGGACGCGGCGTGACGCCCATGCGAATGAGGGCCGATGTGAAAACTAGGAAGACAGGCAACATCAAGGGGGTGTTCGTGGCGATACTGCTCCCCGCCAGAGCAATGTGCCAAAATGTGGAACTTCACCTGTGTCAGCCATGCATGGAGAAGGCCAACCCCCCCCCCCCCCCCCCCACCAAACTTCTCAGACATACACTGCTTCATTTTCACATCAATAAACACCCCCCCCCCCAATATAGACCTATAAAAATTCCTCTCTAAAACGGGATACCTGAATATTATCCATTATTCCAGGAACATTCCCTTGTGGGGGAAAAGTGTATCTCTGGGCTACAGATTAGAGAGGACTTCTGGTTCTCAGTCTGTGACAGGAATAGCCAGTTCAGTCGTGTTTTTACCCAGCAGATGGCAGTGGCACCAGCAAATGTAGAATCGGTCAATAAACAATAGAGCAGGGCATTAAATGCCATTAACAGGGTTACTGGTCTGGTGACAGCACTTGGCGACATGGTGGCAGCCTAAGCTGTGACAAGTTATCCGAGGGGCCATGTCTGAAAAACGTCCACGCCCTCGTCATCCATCCCACCGAAGTCCGTTATCTGTAACGCATGGCGTGACAAATAATGATTTTTAACAAAATGGATGGTGATGAAAGCGTTATTGTTACAGGAACCAAGCGCCTGGGAGCCATTTCTTCCTAGCCCCCCCCTCAGGACACAGCAAACCTGTGCATAAATCACTCGGGATCACAGAAATGTCACCTCAAAGTCAAAATGCCATTTAGTGTTTGCATTATTGCACCTGTGCAATCATCTATAAAAATAGATTTAAAAAATAAACATGGTGACAAGTGGTTTAATTGTGCCACAAATAAATATAAATAATTACTAATCTATGTGTGTTTTTATTACTTTGCAGTTAATATGCAAGTTGCTTTATAATGCTAATGAACTTTGTTAAGTACACAGATTCACCCATCATGAAATCCTCTACTTTAGGACAAACTTATTGTGGTTGCTTTGGGAAAGAAAAAGCCTAAAGTCTTATTTTGCTATCACTTTGGCGAGAGCGACAGTGTTCAGGTTCTGGACTGTAAATCTCCTGCTATGCTGAACAGGCTTCCTTGCTTTGTTCTTTTTGAAAGTCTGTTCCATAACAAACGCGCTTTTGGCAAAGACGCCGCTGGGGTCTATGGAGTACAAACAGAAAGTTTAATGCTGCCCCAATCTCAGCCCTACTTGCTCCCTCCAGTCTGTCCTTGCTTGCCCTTGAGCCACACAACTTCCTGGCTGAAGAACCCAGCTCAGACACACTACTAATCAGCAAGTCACTTGTGGCACATATATTCTTCCCCCGCTGCGCTAAGGCTTAGGGGCCCTCGAACGAATAGCGCCAGGTATCCCTCCGCGCCATGCTCCTTCCAAACCAACCACAAAGTAGTTCAGCCAGAGTACAGTCAACGGACAAGAATCAGGATGTAGCTATGTGAATATGATGGGCTAGTTGGACAACCTTCTGTAACAGCCCAAGCTGCGCGGTAGAGGACCACGGGAATGGTCTACAGAAACGCAGATGTGAACGTCTACCATGGCACAGGAAATGAGAAAAGCAGATTTTGTGGCCAGGAAAGGCAGGCACTAAGGGGTCTTACGACGAGCTGTGTTTCTGATCATGCTGCAAGGGTTTAGCAACAATCAAGCCCAGACCTCTGGAACAGGGGCAATCCAGGACTCTGGGAACATAAAATTGATTGCAAATATACACTCACCAAACACGGCTGTGTGACGGCTGGGGTTAAACGGGGACAGCCTCCGTCTTCGCCCTGAAATAAAGTGGACAAATTAGATAATAATGACTCAACTATGTTAATAACATGTAAGCAAAAAAGTATATGGTTAATAAACAACTGCACTCACTGGACAGTTTAATATTTTATTTTAAATCCATAAGGCCTGTAATTCAGCATAACCACAGTGCGGCTGTTGTTCCAAACGTGAAGCATATTGTTCTAAAAATAAAATTTATACTAGAGTTATAACTCTTGGTTATGTGTATGCAAAGTCACGGATATTTCATTTCAGTCTAAAATGGAAGCTGGACAAGAAACCGCAGTGTGGCTTAAATGATTCTTGGTTCTATCCCCGTAACAAGCCACAGATCCTCAAACTGGAGGAAGGTTGCAAGTGTGAATGGACTGCGACTGTGAAAAGGTCATGAAGGTCGAGTCACATGAAAACACGACGATGATACCGCAATGACATTTTAGCGCTGGAGATGCAGATGACAGTCCACCCTCAAGTGGCCAGATGGAAATTCCAGTCATAGAGCAATCACACCTTGCCTGGGGAGTGATTCCCACAACATCTCCAGCATCGATAAAGCTTGAAGAGATTCGACGAGGAGCCTTCAGATCTCAACAGGCTCACCTGCTGTCGTCGAGCTACAACTAGGCTGTTTCGGTTCCAGACCATCACTTGGGATTTTCCGGTATCATCAGCCCAGCCACGGCTCCCCACATCTGACGATGCTGGGGGATGATGGAGGCGGCAGCAGGCCCCGTGGCCTACTTCTGTAGCAAATTAATTCACCATGAAAACCGCCTTGGTGATCGGCTCACCGCACCCCACCACGGCAAACATCACTGTGGTAAACCTGATTTTTACATCGCACATCCGCCAGCCACGGGAGACCGGGTCAACCACGTGACGCAACTGCCCACGTCCACATGGGGAGGTAATCAAAGCTGCATGTCTCGGAAACGAGACTTAACGAGACTCGTCTTTTGATTTATACCATGTGCACCCCCTATCACATAAAACCTTTTTTGTCTGTATGCTGTAACGTAGACCTTTGGGAACATTACGTGTATAGCTTTACATAGATGGTATGACCATAAAAGCCTCAGTTGACTTGACATGAATTAAGAACGTTTGCTTCATACTGGCCCTTCATACATGCATAGAGAAGATACCGAGGAACAAGAACAAAACGACGTACGGACACCTACGTAAAACCTCAAAGACAAAAAGATCTTGAAATGTTTCCAACATATGGCAGTTACAGAAGGATGTTCACCGAAGCTAAATATACGTATAAAACGCGTTCAAGCGTGCAAATGGTGCAATCCACGTCTGCTGGAAACGTTACAGAAGTTCTTTTCAGCCCAAAGTCAGGCAGATATACAGCCCACTGAATACGTCCTTGTACGTACCTCTTTGGGAAATGCGCAAGATCTTTAAAATTATTTGTTCAGTACATTTGGACACCTTTGTTCCCTGATAGAAGCCAGTAATAACTCTGTGATTATGACACCGAACACTGGTGTTGCTGGGTAGTATGGAAAAAATAGATCTAAAAGTAGATTGAACACCGTGAATTAATATTGTTGTACAAGAAGTATTATTATATCATTTTCAACATGCGCTACCATGTGACAAAGAAGAAAAACCTCACTAAAAGCAAGCAGAGATACTTAACGAACGAGAACAATTATCACTGCCTTCCTTGAATCGAGATTAATCGCGGATCATATTTCAGCGAGCCCAGTGCTGGTGCTGGACAGACAATGTAACGTTCTCGTTAACTTTCAGTGTTAATTACCCCCTGCCTTTCCTGCTGCTCGAGCTCAAAGGAAGCGGCTGCTGAACTGGGAGGCAAACATCTGACTTCCATCGTTAAGCCGGAAGGCGATGCCAACACTGCAGGCGCGGCAACCACCTGACTAACCAGGTCAACTTCCGGCTCTGGAACAATGACACGCGTTTCTCTTTAAAGGCATCACTCCTTGTCAGGGTATGTGGGACTGTGCCACAGGCCAGAGATGCAGATTATAATAAAAGCGAACAGGAACTAGGACAGCTGAGATTATGGCCGCCCAGCACGGCCGTGCAGCCCTCCCGCTGTGCTGCATGCTCCTCACTCCCATTGTTGACCATTAACCCGTTAAATCCCACATAAGAGGCCACTGAGCAGAGTGTCACTTACACCCGGGGGGTGTTGTGACTGCCCTTTGTTTGGAACAATGGCTTTAAAAGGGGTTAGCTATCAGTGGCAACTCGCTCCCCCCCTCCCCATTCACCAACCACCAAGTCATTCCTCTTCCCTGCTTCCTCAGGGGATTCGTGGATTCCCAGCCTCAACGTCACTTATCTTAAACAAACATGCAAACAATACATGCATCAAAGCTACGAGACCAGCAGGCAGTGAAGCCCCCAAGACAGTCTTTTTGACTGGGTTTTGGTGATGGGGAGGCAATTCCAGCAGGAAAACCGCTGTTGTACCCTTGAACATGATCATATACATTCATGTCGTTTAGCAGACGGTTTTGTCCTAAGTGCCATACAAGTGTGAGTATAGGAGTATGTGTGAGTACTACAGCAGCAAAAGCTACTCATCTTCCGAAAATTAAACAACCTCAAGAAAAATTTCAATGATGAAAAGTGCAACATTCAGGCAACATAGAGAGGCATCATATTTCCATAAACCAAGTACAAAACATGATATTTCACATTTAAACTGTTTACTAATAACAAATCATCGGGGTGATTTTCTGGTATCCTATAACGTCAACGAAAGCTATGCTTCAAGTTACGATGCAAACTCCATCTCAGCGCCACAGATCCCATGAGTTTAGCTTCTACGGGTTATGGAGTTCGTCTTATTGCAGTCTGCAGATAAACAAGGACCAATATCGCAATTATCAGAGCAGCATCTCTGATGATTAATGACCAGAGAGACTGTAATGAAAGTCCTGGGAGGGATGGCGCTTATGTCATAAAAACAGCTGACAATACGAAGGAATCAGCAAAGCCAATAACAGGCAACAGTCCCGCATGCGGTTACGTAAAGGAACGCACGTCCTTTGCAGCGGGGTAACCTCTCCTGAATCCCCCTTGTTTGCATAAAAAAAGAAAATCAGAGATTAATTAAAAACAGATAAAGGGTCATTTGGACAATCCCAACTGCAGAGGTGAGCCCAACTCAGTCGGGATAATACTTCCGCTACTGTGACGTGGCCAGACAGGCAACACACAAGCACACAGACGACATTCCCAGCCGAGCAGAGCCTGCACCGCCACGCAGAGAGGGGGAGGGAGCGCTCTCACGTCTCCTCGGTCAGAGCGACTGCCAAGCAGTATCTATGCTGGGGTCAGTTTCCTTACCTCCTTCAACAGCAGCCATGGAGAATGAGGCAATGGGGTCACCGGGTCCACGGCTACATTCAAAACAGCTCGTTTCCTGCCTGAAAACGGCTATTCACGAACAATCAAAGCTCCCACCCCCCACGCCATTATGTAAAATAAAAGTTTTATGTAAGCTTCAATGTAATTTAATCTATGCTAAATTTCCACAAAAATGCCTTTAATAGATATAAGATGGCATAGGATAAAATATGGTTGGTTTGTTTGTTTAAGCATTCCGTTTAACAACAGGAATTAATCATATAATCTTTTATTTTTAATTATTCATTGTGCGCTGTCTGCTTGGGCTGCAGCCCAGACAAACCCTGTCTGTAACCCAGGCAAATCCGTCTGAAGATATTGTTAGGAAACGCGCTGTGTCCGGCTTTATCGGGTACATGATACGCCATTTCTGTACACCCCAAAGAAACCCCCGCAACCAAACAAAACCTATGCTATTAACATATTCTCTTCTCTGACAGTATCCCTTAATTTTAAGTGATTCAATTATCATCAGTTTCCGCCTGGTAGATTGCACAGTCGTTGACATTTTTACGCAAAGCTATGCTTTAATATAAAGATTTCCCAGCCTGTGATGTTATTCATGTGCAGGTGGGGTGGACCTGGTATCGGGGCAGAAAGTGGCAGCACGGGAGGCTTTTTCATACTTCGCAAATCCCTTTAACTGCGGAAGATAGAGAAACGCGAAGTTTAAAAGCGGCCGGTCGCGTCCCGTCAATGCGCGTCTGCAGGCCGGGGTAAGGCTTTCCTGACTGCCTTTACCTGCCTTTACCGCAGATGAAGTCGCACCTCCGTGCTCAGTGTAGTTTCCCCTCCCCCCTTCTCAAGACCAGCACGTCTTTGGCACAAACTTCCTTTGAGCCCGATACATAAACAGCGAATTCTTCATGCTACAATCGTTTCAACTGCAAGTGGTCTTTAATCAAGGCTATTTATGTATTAAAAATTATTATATTATCAGTTGACAGCAAGACAGTCAGACGTGACCTACCATATGCTCTATAACACTATCAATTACAACTATCTAGATTAAGTGCATACGTAGCCTATGTAAAAATGTGGCAACTATTCTTCTATTCAGATTATACAATCAACTCGGTTTTGTTTAGCTCTTTATTTGGCCACGCCGAAGGAATAAAATAAAGCAGTATTCCATCTGCTGCACATTGTTAATTGTCTATTAAAGGTGTCTGTAAATACGGATTGCGTGTCCGTCGGCGACTGCACACAAGTTCGCGTACCTAGGGACCGACATAAGTCGAGGAAAGTCAATTTTAAAAGTCATGGATTTATCGTAAATTCTGAGATCTATCAGTCCTAACAGTTGTAATTGAACTCGAATATCTTTTTAAAAATAAGATAAAGAAAGATGTCTCATGTAAGTAGGCTTATTTCTTTACTCCTGATCCGGGTCAAGTACGTCTGGAAGGTCCTGTGTTGGGTAAATCTAGAACAGGTGCATTTTTTAAAAGGAGAGCACTGGAACGTTTTCGCACGTTACTGATTCCGGTCTTTTCATTCGTTCCCCAGCTTATATGCGACTACACGTGATTTTTGCCGAGCCACTCTTCCCCCCACCCCGATGGAGAGCCCTCTTTGCTTAATCCTTTTTGGCTCTAGT